AAGCGAAGCAAGTTCGTCTAAAATTCGATCGACGTCTTGTAAACTAAGAGTGGTTACCCAGCCATCTGGAATCTGGGGTGAAGGTTAGTATGAGTTTTGAATAAAATGGACCCCGTACCGAGACAGTATCTTCAAGAACCGTTTTGACTTCCTGACCCAAACACCCTGAGTGACCATCCTTCGACCAATTTCTTAAACGGGCATCATTCGTTCCAAAGCACTCCATGATCTCCAAGGAAAGAGCCTTCTCTTGCATATGGTATCTCCGCCTAAAGTCGACATCCGGGAACAAAAGTCGGAAAATGATAGTAGTCGTGCCAGGCGACAATGGGGAGAATTCTTTGTATAATTTTTCTTTCCATCGTGCAAAGACTTGAAGAGCTACATTGTGTCGTTCACGTTTGTCATTAGATAGCTTTCGACGAACTGTTCCCTGAATGTCCCGCACTAGCGCAGCGAAACTGATAGACTACGTTAGGATAGTCGGTTTGCAGGGCAGAATGGAGCCTCACAAGGTGAAAGGGACCTTATTTGGGACAACCGCCTCATTCGACATCGCTGAGGCTGATGATGGTAGTGGTAGTAGGAGTCATCCTGAGATAGTAACAATAACGCGTCGACAGCACGGTCTCGTGATATAAACTAAGACTACAAGTGTACAATACTAGTGTACTATTCCTTGTCTTCGAGTTTCAAGAGGACCTTTTTTGCATATTTACCTTGGGCCATGTCCGAAAATATGAGTCTAATCTTTTGTGTGACTTGTTCGTCAGACTCGTTTGCCCCTAGAGTTATAATCTCATGTTCCGGAGCTTTGAGCTTTTTCGTGTTCATGAGTACATATAACGAGTCGAAGAATTTATCTCGACCTCACCTTGCCGTCAACCATCATCGAGGCCAAGCTTGCGATGAGGCTCTCCTTCTCTTCTCGTGAATGGGCCTTGCTCCATCGCGTCTGCCAGAATCCATGCGAGGTTAAGTCTTTGAATATGAATAAGGAAGTGGGAAGAGAGATAGGCTGTTTGGACATTGCGCCATAGGAGACTAAATGAGCACCATGACCAAGGAGTTTGACCATAGCGGTGTTGGCTTCGCCTCCGACACAGTTTAAACCAAGCCGGATGTCCTATTGACATAAGTAACATTCCTCAGAGTACAAAGTAGTTAATTCACCTTTCCGCTGGTCCACTCTTGTATCTTGCTGCGCGTTGTCCTGTCTTTGAGATCATCGTAGGTGAGAACGCGAGTAGCCCCAGCTCTTCGAGGTTTCTTGTTAACGCTGAGAGGTCATCTCTGACGACGAGGTTCCATAAGCACCGTTCGATCCCGGTCTCAGAAAAGTATTTTACCTTGCCCGGACAAGATTGAGCGTGTTTAATCCTCTAGATTTTGCGATTTGAATGACAAGCTTGCCAACCTGATGAGTAAAAGACGTTGAGGATCAAGGACGTTGATCTTATTCTTTGGTGACGAACCGCGCTGTTGGCTCCATTTTGGACTACCCAATCACCCTCTTTCAGATCCACAAATTCTCCGAGCATGTTGAATGCGGTCGTAGGATTGACCTGTGTATTGATTAGCCAGTTTCGTCAACCGAAAACAGCGGATCGACATACCGTCATTGTAGCGCCATGGGCCTTGCTTAGTCCATCAGTCTCTTTGAACGGAAGTTTGATGATGTCGGCGACATTGACATTGCGAGTAGTGGACCAAGTTCCTAGTTGAGACTTGTCCATCACGACCCAGTCGTGCTTTTTCAGACCATGGACACCATCTCCGACTTCGACTACTTCTGCTAATCCTTCATTTCCGCCGACGAATACCGGATGGTCTGGGCTGCCCAAGCCAGAGGAGTTGAGAGCTGATGTAAGGGTTGGCTTGGAGGGATATACGCCTTCAATAGTATTGATGTCAGCGGGGTTTATCGCTGACAAGACAAACCGGATATTGACGGAATGCGGTTTGGGGGGAGGCAAGTCTGGAAAAGTGAGAGCTGTAAGGACGTCTGACGGATTCCCGTTCTGAGAATAGACCACAGCCCGGTTTGCAGCGACTGATGAGGAAGAAAATTGGCGTTTGAACGCAGAGACAAGTGTTCTGGACAACATTTGTATGAGGTCATACTGAGTCAGGAAGCTCTCATGGCCGGCAACGTCTCCAGTTTTTAAACCCTCTAGTCCAAGTTTCTTTGCATATTCCACATGTCCAGAATAAACACCAGGCTCACCCGTCTTCTCGGTATTCGCACCCCATGCGTGCTTCCTCCTATGGCTGGTGTCAGTGGAGGCGCTCTTGCAGCTCAGGTTTCTTCCGCGGGCGCATTCGGATTCATTGCGGCTGGTCTGATACATCCCTCTGCGCGTTGTGGCTTCGGCTAAGTAAAATAATCTAGGATACGATTCTATCGAAACCCTCAAGTCTCAAATTAACACTGCTCAGACCATTCTGGAATCTCACAAACTCGACAAGTCACTCTTTGGCGTAGGATTTCTTGCTTGGCAGCTTGACCAACGCAAAGATGAGGCAGCCAATTTGGTAACGGCAGCCCTGGAACACAACATCAAGGCTGTCTGGTTTGCGTTTGGAAATGATTTGGAGAAATGGGTCAAATTCGTACGAGATTATGACGAGAATCACAACAAGACAGACAAGACACTGGTGTTTATACAAGTAAATTCCACGCAAGAGGCGAGAATAGCTGTGGAAAAGTGGAAAATTGACGTCCTTGTTGTTCAAGGTGTGGATATCGTACCGTCAAGTTGATGATTTACCTAGAAACGTTGCGTAGGCATAGAGTCCGGTGGTCACGGCTCAAATCGTTCGCCGCCTTTGTTGACTCTCCTTCCTTCAGCACTGTCTATCCCAGCCCTTGGTGCAGGAGATAGCATTCCGGTCCTCGCAGCGGGAGGTCTCGCTACTGGTGCTCACATTGCCTCTATGCTGGCCCTTGGCGCGTCCGGGTCAGTCTTGGGTACACGTTTTTTGCTCTCTCCAGAAAGCTTGTACACAAACGTCCAAAAGGCGGCATTGATAGATGCGGATGAGACGGCAACTGTTAGAACCATGGCTTTTGACACAGCCAGGGGAACCCTGGGGTGGCCAACCAATATCGACGGCAGGGCTCTGAAAAATGGTACGAGGCCAGCCTCTCCAGTGTTGTAACGACTGATTGTTCTTTAGACACTGTCCGAGATTTCGATCAGGGTACGCCTGTCAACATTCTACAAGATAAGTTTAAAGAAGGGGTGAAAAATGATGATCTTTCCCGTATCTTGGTTTGGTCTGGCACGGGTGTATCTCTGATGAAAGAAGTAAAACCTGCCGCAGTGAGTAATTTACACATTCCTGGCCAAAAATTTACGGGCATTCAATACATATACCATAGGATATTGTGCAAGAGCTCCATGAGGACTGCGTAAATGCATTGAAAGCTGTAGCTCAACTGATTTAAGATGATGATTGCTTTTAATGAAAACGTATAATTGATTCAGAATCACGACATGGATGATATGGGGTGGGATGAGCTACAGGGTAGCACAGGTACTATCGTGCCTTTCTGTCTTCAAAAAAGTTCTGGTGCAGAGGAATGAGAATTTGCGAGAGTCGTTAGGAAACTTGACTCACTTTGAGATGCCTCAACTGCCACATGCAAGTCGCGACAAGTACCACAATTTGTGCGATACTGTACCATACTGCTCTAGAGTTCGTGGCTTCACTCAAATTACGGTAATCAGCTTCCCTTTCCCTCTGATACTGTTGCTCCCGGCGGATGTCTTCTAGTTTCTGGTTCAGATCCCGGATTTTGGCGGAGAGTTCGGAAACGTGGGTGCGGTCATGTTCTGCATCTGCACGTGTAGTTCCGACGACAATATCAAGGTAAAGTCGTATGTGTGTAGAGGAAAACCAGGAAGTGTAGTTGGTTGAGAGGCATATGGAATGGTCTCCTGACTCATGAGAGGTGAATGTAAATCGTCCTTCTGAGGGACCTTTGGTCTTGACTACGTTGTGACCACTATAAACCTCCTGCATTCACGCTATTAGAGTCATTTTGAAAGATTGTGCAAAGCACACGCACCTCAACTTCGACATGTATGCCTAGATTCTCATCTACGACATATTCCTGTCTTGCCTCTGACCATTCTAAAGCCCTATAATGTCCTGTGCATAGGGCGCCGGTGAGAAGGTGTAAAGGAACTAAAAGACATCAACCAGACCTTCAACGACAGTGTCCGTCGGCAGTTCTTCAATGAAGCATCTCTTTTCATTGGCATCCAGATAGAAGTGGAGTGCATTGGCAACCAGCACCGAGTAGAAAAAGACTGACGACAAAAGGAGTTTACGCATTGGAGAACTCTGGCAAGTTTAACTCTCCATAATACGTGGCGGTTGTTTGAATCGGCCAGCGGAGCCAAACACCTGTGTATGATACCACGGTGGCACTTATTTAGCAACTCATCACCTGGGTTTCGAGCCAGTTTCGAGTTGATAGCTCCCACCCCGAGTAAAAATGGAGGGATATATTGATATCTTGGTTCGGGATCTACAGCACGGAGCTCAAGAATGAATGGGTCCCAAAGCTTTTTGGAGTCATGCTAAAACAGAAGACATGATAGTGTTTACAATAGGCTGCAAGAGATATTCCCTCCAAGTAGAGCAAAGCAGGGTTTTGTGGGCAGCCTAGCTATATACGAGATGGGCGCTACATAAATTGAGTACTGAGTACATATTCAGGGCGTTCTATTAGTAAAGACAGGCTCGCTCCGGGCACAGCTCACCGGCTTTCTATGGAAGGCGGGAGATGAAAAGACTCTGGACAGATGGATTGTCCAGCATTGAGTATGAAGTAAACTAGCTGATTGGGATCTCTGATTGACTGAATAGCAACGACATCTTCATCATTGACAAATGATCCTGCGGTACGGGAATTACGGACCGCATCGAGCTGGGCGACAAGCATGACTGGAGAAAAAAGATGAGAGAGAGCACTCGCACAATAAAAATGCTCCCTGCAAGGCTCGAACTTGCGACCTCGAGATTACCGAGCGCAAAGGCCCGTCATAAGCTATGAGACTCGCGCTCTACCGACTGAGCTAAGGAAGCCACAGCAGTCGTGTTACTACACCAGATATCAGGGGAAGTCGGCTAATAGCCGCAGAAGCCGGCGGCGAGCACATGCACAGCCGGCGGAAAGACTTTGGAGAAGGTTAGCACGTGGGAAAGAGTTGTGATAGATATCCTGTCGGAGTCCCAATTGTGGATGACGAGGTTTCTACTAAACGACCGCCAGAGTTTCGCTTGAATCGCTGTGTGAGTTTATCTAGTGCTCTTTTTCTTCAAATTTGACTCAAGTTCCATTGGCCGTTCTGGAAATTCGCGCGGAAAGCCCCAGAAATCTGCAATCTGTACTTCTCGCAGAAAATTCGCGTTGAAGCCGGTGCTACAACAACCCGTCTTTTTCTCGTTGGTCTGCTTGGTGTATCGTGATTGGGCGTGCCAATACGTGACACTGCTGGTAGGCTCTATCAACGGTTCTCTTTCGTCACTCACCTTCACCAGGACGACGATTGTAACCCCGGGTATCGAATTTGTGCAACCGTCGAGCGATCACATTTGCTGCCATTCTCAAAGTCTCCGGTGCGCCTCCCTCTAGTCGCTCATTTCTTTTCTTGACCCATCGTAGAATGTTACAGCAGGGTTCTTAGATGAGCGTTCCATCTACGAGCACCAAACGCAAACGTCTCTCCAAGGCGTGCGACGGATGCCATCGCTCCAAACGAAGGTATGCCTGAACGTCCGTGTTCCCAGGTCACGTCTCAACTGTCGTTCTGAAAACCAGGTGTGATGGTACAAATCCTTGCGGCAATTGTTATTTTGCTTCAAAGGTCTGTACCTATACCGACTCAAGTGGTCGTCCAGTGCCCGCTCCCAGAACCGCTAGTACGCCGCAGCAATCCTCTGTTCCATACACCCAGCCAAACCAGTTCAACTCCTCACTCGTCTCACAACAAGACCCGTCCGTCCCTCGCAAGCGCCGCCGCCCTGATGAGCCTGGCCTCACGTTCTCTCTCGAACCTTCACTTACCCGTGAACTCACCAATTGTCAGTCATCCGAATCCGTTCATTGCTGTTTGAATTCTCATTGCTTGTAGTGTTCCTGACACATGATCATCCCGCGCTTTCCATTATTCACAAGCCTTCTTTCACCAATGCCCTGTCCCTCAATCAAGTTCCTCTCCATCTTCTTTACGTGCGTTTCCTACCTCGTGTTTGGCTCTCTCTCACCTCTCTTAGGCCATGTGTGCGATGGCAGCCCGCCATTCTAAGCAGCCTTCACTTTCCACCGGTCGTTTCGCTGGTAGTCATTTTGCTGATGAAGCCGTCCGTTTGATGTTCGATGATGGGAATGGAGGTGAACCTGCTTGCTTTTCGACTTGTTATTTTGCTTACGTGATAGGGTCCATAGAGGGAAGACTCATCGTGCCGCCCACATATCAAACAGCTCAAGCTCTGTGTATTCTCATGATTCATGAAATCCTGAGGACGCAGCAAAAATTACAGGGAAAAAAAGAAATCAACCGTGCGGACACCGAGTCGATACCTAGAACGGATCAACTTCCTTTGTCTAGAGAAGAAAGATTCCGAAGTACACACTTATTCTATTCATTTCATTCGGGAGCCAATGTGTTTATTAGATATAACCCTGCAACTTTTGCAAACATTGGGCGCCCATGCACCCGAACATCCGCTTCTGACGCCGGTACCCTCTCAACACTATATTGAAGTCAGTATTGAGCGCGAATGCATAAGGTGGACATTACGTTACTCTCCCATCGAGTGCTTCTCATTTTCTTTCCAGACGCATATTCTGGGTGATATATGTAGTCGATTGCATGCGGGGAATATACTATAAATGGGAAGGAAACATGCTCGGTGGCAGTGGTCGGGGCTACTCAGGTCTTGGTTCGCCATCCAGCATATATGCCACGCATGTGAAGCCATCGTCTTCGGCCTCTGCTCCGGGCCATTCCATTACTGGATCCAGTACAGGGTATGATCTCTTGGCTTCAACATCGAGAGAGCCGATGTCCAATCCATACCCTGCTCCACCGCCACCACCAGTTCTACCTCCAGGTACCTCCGAGTGGAACATGGGATTGTTGATAGGCAATGGAGGTATTATGGGTTTCAGTGAGGCAGATCTAAGACTGCGACTTCCGGCGGATGAAACTAGCTTTGAAATGGGCGTTGTCCACGAAATCTTGCCCGGTCCGTATTTAGAATATGCATCGGCTTTATTGGTGGAACTGACCAGGCTTGCAGAATATCTTCATCTAGCACCCACACGAGCACAATCACCGTCCGAGCTCGCACATATGATTCGGATACTCACCATCTACTCCAAAGTCGAATGGACATTGGAACACATTGATGATCCTCTACCTCAAGCTAGGAACGAGGCCCGTCATATGCTCAGTGAATGCGAAAAGCTTATGCATGCATGGGTAGAGTCGTTACCACACGAACTTCGTTTCACAGATCAAAACCTCAGCGTCCAACGCAGCATGCTGGAGACGTCAAGCAATACAGGCGCATGGTGTTTTGCTTTGACACATGTACTGCATGCAAGTAGCGTGTTAGCGTTGGGTGTTTATAACCGATATGTGGAGATGGAAAACGAAAAGAGTACTGATAGAGACGTGAAGGTTGAGCCAAAAAAGGCACAGTGGGCATCGGGTGTCTTCGACGCGATTTTGGAAATGTTGGGTGAAAGAGCTAGGAACAGTATCATTCGTACGTTTCTCGTTTATTCGTACTTGTGCGTGTTCTGATTAATTCGTCTGTGATAGTTGGAGCTGTTTTGTGGCCTATGATTCGGTATGTTCCCCACGAAGATAGGAAAGTACAAAGGCTATTAGAGTATTTCGAAGACTTCACTGGCGTGAGAATGGATCAAGTTGCTGGAGCAACATGGGCACCTGGGAATCTGGATACGACAGAAACTGTATCAACTCTTCATGAACAACAGTCAACATCCAACTCTGAATCGACTCCACTTCCCACAAGTACACCAGGACCGGCATCCATGTCTAGCATTCTAGTTAACGGCCACGGGGGCGCGACTGCTCCGGATTCGGGGACGTATAACAAGAATCAGGGTCTCAAAAGCATCGAATCGTGTCTATCCTCTCCGCCGCGCGCAGAATCTATTCAGTCTTCTCGCCAAAATTGTCTGCCCTCGCTCAAATCGAGTGGCCTGTTGGAGTGGAGTAATGGCAGCGACCAAAATTGGAATGTGTCAATACCTCCTGGACATACACCCACCCCATTACCGGATGCATCCACATCACAGTCCACTCAGCTACGGCCACATCATTCACGGCCCCAGACCCAGAGCTCTGGTGTAGACGGCACTCAAATGGGAGGCCGTGTAGGTTTATCTTGGATGATGAACGGGTGAATAGACATGTGGCTTGACGGAGGGGGAAGCACCATAGTGGTTGTTATTCAGGACATGGGTTTCAGGATCCTGCGGCGGGGGGATGCTTTTGTTCATCCACTTTGCTAAGTCTAGCTCATGTCATTTCACAAGTATGAGGCAAGGTTGTATCCAGACACCTCTGTATCCGTTCTTTTAAACTTATCGTGCATATTTCTGGCAATTTTATGACTGGTGTACATATGTATCCGTAGTTAATATCGTCTTCATATCTTATCATCCGTTCTAGCTTTGATTTACATTACGTATTTATGTTATATTTCTTTTCATTAGACCACGGTTCCAACAAGAAAAAGGGCCTTAGAAATGTTACTGGCCCTGTGTAGATCTCAATAATTCTAGAAAGGCAAAGCATGCACTTATACTTTCCACATGTTTGAGTCCAAAAGCTTTTTTTTCTGGCAACATAGGGAGCTTAGAAAGTATCACAAACATACTCTCCAAACATGGATATAGAGCAGCTGTGGCTTGAGAGAAGAATGCAAAAAATTTTTCAGTAGATAGGAGCATTTTTGGAAATTTAAGTCCAGGTAAATACTAGATCCAAGTCCAATAATTGAACAGACTTGGAGGTCTCTGGAAAGGTCTAAACAGAAAAACAGGATCTGATGAGAGAAAATGAAAGGGGTTACATCCATGATGTTCTGCATCAAATTGTGCTTATTCAACTTCAACAATCCTGTACTTTCACTTTATTCCACATCTGTATTCTTCCATCTCATTTTTTGTATCTTTCTGTTTACTCTCCTCATGTTTTACTTACTAGTTGGATGAGGGCCTGTTACATCCATACCTTCCATCTGGATCTGCTTTGTCTGAATTATTTTCCTGTGCCTTATTCAATCCCTATTCTGCTTGGATCTGCTCCATCCAAAATATTTTCTCACACTATTTACCATCCTTTATTATCCACTTGGATCTGCTTCATCCAAAAATATTTTCTCATGCTTCATTCCTTCATTATTGCTTCCTCACAGATTCTGAATACTGGATCTGCATTTTTCATACTTCTGACTTCTTCTGACTTTGTTACATCTGTACCTTTCCACACCAGATCCACCAGATCCATAATTCATTCATTTGATTCTCATCCATTATTCAAGACATTCATCCACTTTGGATCTGTCATTCTGATTTCTTTCATTTATTCTGTTCTATTCCATTTCCTTATCCTCATGTTTACTCATCTCTCTTCATGTTCAGTCTCATGACCCTTCCATGTAATTCTTTTATTGTCACAAAGGTTTTTATGTGATGATGATCTACTGAGTGTTTCCCATATATGTTATATTTTTCTCTACAACGTACAACATGTTACCTCAGGTCTGGTCCAGACCCCACCCTTAAACGTTGTAATTTTATAAAAAATGTTGTTATTACCATGTGGTGCCTTTTATAAAATCAATGGATAGAGCAATGTGTCTTTTTATAAAATCACCCCTTACGATCCATATAGATGTATGGATAGGCTTAGGACCAATATAAGTAAGTACTCATGGACCCAGGTTGGGTACCTGTCCATGGCACAGCGTCGAAATTGGATATAAATTCTCACGCATGTATACACTGTGATCATCAGTTACAATGTACATATGACGGGAGT